CTTTAACCAGTGANTTGTTGTTCCATAAAGCTGTGCCTATATATCGTACTCACAATTGCTAAATGCCATTCAAAGACTTTAATTATAGACATGTCCCGATTTGAATATCTTCAAGCTAACTTTTTCATTTCTTTGGAATAAGAGATCATAACTTCAATGGTACAACTTGATTTGCAACAAACCTAGTTCTTAAAAAAAGTATCAGCACCTTCACAAGCCTATTTTAGGAAAGCATATTATAAAAAAGAAGTTAAACTCTCCGCAAAATTTATTTCGTAGTCATACTTCCATTTTGCCGATTTTGAACTATAGAGATGCAGAGCGAATAAATGTTTAGTGAAATTGTGATATCAGGGTGAACATTCTCTTTAAAAGTAAATGTTGAAAGGTCGCGCATGTCTTGTCAGATAATGTTAACGGTCTTCACACCTGAGGAGTATGACACTTTGAATTGATGGGACTTAGAATATAATTGTCGTATTGATTTAATTAGCTATCTTGATCAAATTACCAATTTATTTTCATTGTACCTTTCTATCTTGTCTCCAAATAATTAAACTGATTGTTTTCTCTTCTCGCTTCATTATCATGGTCAAATTCGTTTCGTCTTGACATTAGTCTCTATTATACCTCGTGTTCGACACAATAACTATAAGCAATTGTTTAAAACAACCGAATAAAATATTTCTGCGTTTTGCCAATAGTTATCTCGGGTATTTAAAAGATCAAAAATATGAAACAAGGCCCATCTAGGACATTTTCCTTTACTTTTACCTTCACACCACATTTCTCACGATATAAAAACAACATTTTCGATATTTTTATTTCATTTTTCTCATAAAAACTTCAAACAAGTTTTCTCGACAATAAAAACAATTATTATAACATTACTAGTAAAATTCTAGCTGAGCGCCCACATTGAACTTTTCTAAAACGGAAAGATAGAGTCTGACTTCTACTTTATTAAAACATATATCTCATACAAGTTTAAGTTAAAGAACAATTAAATCTAAATAGAAACTTTAATACCATGCTGGTAGGGCAAATAGAAAAAAATTATCAAAACACAAAAGGTATGCCGCAAGGCAGCCGACTGTGGCGTTGCCTTTTTATATTGGCCGTAAAAGACATCGTCTATAAGTTATAAGACATATCAAAGTAAATAAGGATTTGTTGTTTTTGACTGACTGGTATTTGAATGAATCTTTTTTACACAATAGATTCAAACCAGGCAAATACTTATATCCGTTTGTCGATTGTGTGAAATTTGCACCCAATTAAGCGTTTAACACATGCGACGTCACGCTCCCTATATCCACCTGAACAAGGAAAGGTGACATTCTTGCACAAGTATAAATATCTGTCAATTACTTGCCATTGAAACGAAGAAAAGTAATTATAGAAAATCCGTTGATATATTTTTTGGAAGTCGTTGTTAGTCAGAGATCAAGATATATGATCTAATACTTAGAAATTTTACTCTTTTTTCGGGGCGTGGTGCGACTTTCTCTTATAAAATAAGTCTACAGCGATTTGATTAAAACGGTATAGATTTTAATTAAAAAGTTCGCACCTTTCCAACATTAATTCGATATTACTCAATCAAAGTTTGGAATCCCACAAATACTTAAATTAAAATTCATTGAAAAGGGAACTACGATTTACTGACGAACAACGAAGAGTCGAATTGTTGAACACTAGATCGCCTTCTAGCAATTGCGGTCTTGGATGATAGCAGATTCTGATTGCTCAGGTCAGCATTCAGATCCAAATTTTGTTAAAATGAAGAAAATGAGCAACTGGTCGCAAGTGTGATTTTTTCAGTTGTGTGCACTGGTCGATCTAAACCAGCAAATTCTCCCAGAAGCGACGAGTCGTTGAAAACCTATGAGTTGATTTCAGATCTTGTGATTCGTAAAGTCGTTAAAAGTCCCATTTACACGTTCCCAGCCAACATCGTGATGCCAGTCAGGTTAAAACGCAGGATCAGATTTTAAAACCAAATTATCTGAAATGACCATACACTTTCCTTGAACTTCATTCGGATGATTTTGATAAAAAAAAATTATATTAAGAATATATTTTTGACTGTACACTGTCTTTACAGACGATCAAGTTATGGAAAATATTGAATCTTTGTCCTGATCATATAATACTTATACCTTATATACTACCAGGTGTGTTTATAAACCTAATAAAATAAATACTATAAAGAGAGATTCAAGTGTTAAAACTACTTCTGTATTGAATTTTTAAACTTGTACAAGTG